CCTGGCAGTATGAAAACGGGGATGGAAAACCTATCGATGGTAATTACAGCTCAACTCACTATACTTGCTAATGTGAAAAGAATATTAATCTGTTGGCGTGGTGGTTTTAAAATGATTTATGGAATAAAAACTGTGCCTATTTATATTTTGCACACATATACATTAATTCTAGTTATTGTGACTCAGGCACTGTGATTATAAATAAACAGAACACAAGTCTCAGGAATTCACTTATTTTTTTTAATGTCCACTGCAGTTTACAGAGATTATTTCCCCACTGAGGATGGGATTGGCATCAGCAGGTGACCAAACAATGGGAAAATGAATTGGACAATCATTTTCATCCAATCAAGCCAACACCAAGCTGAACGAGATGCTGGTGTGCCAGTGGGTTTTTGTGATGCTGGTGTTAATATATATAGATATTTATTACCTCAGTAAAGATTACAGGTAATTTTCCATGCAGAGAATACTGTGGGCTGCTTTAAAGAATTCCCACAGTATTTAGCCCTTACTAAATACAAAAACAATATTAGATTAAAGTATTCAAATTGTGAATTGCCACCAGTAACAGATTAAGGCTTGCTAAAACCATCCTGAATTAAAGGGTTACCGGCCATTGGACGGAATGCCACTAACTGCGGGACAACTGCCTCCTGGGACAACATGGTAGCTGCTTAGTGGAGAGAAATTTGACTACATAACTATAACATCATTTTGTAAAAACATGAAATGTGTTTTGTAATTTTTACAATTAGAGGGACACTATACTAACCCGAACCACTACACCTTATTGCAGTTGTTCTGGTGAGTAGAATCATTTCATTCAGGCTTTTTGCTGTGAACACAGTCTTTTCAGAGAAAATGCAGTGTTTACATTACAGCCTAGTGATTCCTTCACTGGTCACTCCTCAGATGGCTGCTAGAGGTGCTTCCCGGGTCAGTGCTGAACGCTCCCCATAGAGAAGCATTCATTCAATCTCTGGCTATATCAATGAAAAGTGGGCGGGGCCAAATGAATTGATATAGGATCATCAACAATTAAACTCATTGTACCAAACTCAGAATACCAGTACTGATCTCTTCAAGTTATTCTGTCATTTGCACATGAGCAGATAGCAAAATACTCGTCATATATAGTATTATGCTAGCAATATCCTGTAGACCTAGAGGATCAAATCACTAAACAGTAAATTTAAGAGATTTCAGATCAATAAATGCGACCAAGATTAAATCGCAGCTCAGCAGAAGGGATGTTTTTTTTTGCCCAACACGTTACTAGATTTTCTAAAATCCCCACAACTATCTTCTAGTGAATAACCCCCTAAACGTTAATATATATATACTCTGTATATTTATTTTTGTGTGTCATAGTTGCACTTTAACCCCTTCAAATTTGCAGTTTTCCATAGCACCATGTCTTTTATAGGGTTACTTCCAAGCTTGTGAATATCTGGTAAAGCCTTTTGTGAAGCAGTAATGCCTTATCATTAACTCTGTTTTATCGCTATTTCGAGGGTCTGCACACATGAATAGTGTTTTTTTACGAATGAAGAGACACGCTTTTAACTCCCCCTATTAATACACGCGCGCCGATGCTTGTAACTTCTCTCTGCGGACAATCCAAGAAGTGCGGCGCCTCCTTTCACAACAAACAGGCATGAAATAAGTGCCTGACATAAGCCTCGGCAGGTCATTCAAGTAAGGCAGCATGTCAGGATTCAAACTGGGCTATCCATCACCCACAGACCAGCAAGACAGCCAGAGACCAATCTACACGCTGACCTTCCCAGTACCACGACTGCTGATGGAAGGGGGGCAGAAAATTGGAAAAATATTTCATGCATTGCACCACGGTAACAACTGTGTTCTGAGATTCAAGATACATTATATATATATATATATATATATATATATATATATATTATACAAGCCACTGTGACCCAGTTTAACCCTTTAGGTCAGACAACAAGCGGACAAGTGGAACAGCGGCGAGCTGAAGAATATATAAAAGAGGAAATATTGGCTGCAGAATGTACATGACAACTGCTTCGTCCAATACCTGATGCATAAACCCAATCTGGATTTAAATTACGGACATGGAATTAGACAGATTATATGATTTTGGCTCTTACAAATAAACAATAGAATCCTCAATGTGTCATTAGCTGCATTGTCTTCATACACAATGTGTTCTTTACAAACCAATGTTCTCTGTATACCATTTCTTGTGTTTTATTGCAAAACTAACACAATTTTAAGTACTAAAAATGAAAGGAGCAGAACCGCAAACGGTCAGTAGCACTCCAAGTGTGTTTCCATGGTTTAGGTTTTTGCAATTCTAATTTCACTTTACTACAATTCCATGTTTACCTCATTCTGTGGGAATACACAGCAAAGTAATTACAGAAAAATCAAAATGGCTGCCATGTGGAGGATTAGCAAAGGGAATTATTCACTGAAATAGTGAACTGTAGGGAAATGAAAACTAGATTGCAAAATTCAGGCCTGGTCTCAATAAACCTTATCTGAAGTTTATCTGAGACCCATGTTATGTTAAAAAAACACAAAAAACTGTGAATATTTTAATGTTCCCTTTTACTCATAAGTTCTATTCTTCTTCTGTAGATACCATATCCGAATGAAACCCTGGAACGGCACATCCTTTTATGAACTCAATATCGGCCATTTAACAGAATATGCCCTTATTCAATAAAACATTGCCTACATATCCCAATACAAGTGATTGCATCTCCCTCTGTTTCTGTTGTTTTTTAGGATTCTCTTGATTGCATACACATACACTGTTTCTACTAAAATAAATGATTGTTATCAATATACAAAGTTTTAGCTTGAGGGCTGTAAGAATAACCATGTAGCTGAAAGTGGTTGGTTTTAAGTATAAGGTCCTGGTAGACATAGCAAGGGCTGGTTATTTTGCAACTGAGAACATTTACTTATCAAACTCCAATTTGTATCAAACTGAAAACCAAATTGCAAAATGTAGGTGATATGTGATAATTTTGAAAAACTCTCCAACCCAGCTATAGTGGCAGCTTGGTCATTTTAAAATTTACAAAGTGGTTCTCATTTCACTACAGTTCACTGCTAGAGAGTACACTCTAAATTAGGGCTGTCCAACCTCAGGTAATCCAAGGGCCACATTAAAAAACAAGATTAATCTGAGAGCCACTTGCAATATTATACATTCATTACATAACGTATAGTATTTGTTAATAACAAGCAATACATTTTTATTAATATTCTTTATTTTGGTTGAGCATTGTATAGCAAACATGAGTATAGAGACATTTCACATGAGTGATCAACACTAGCAGGTGTTAGCATTAAATGAAAAGGTTTTTGAGAAAAAACAGGCATTACAAAGCTTAGCAGATAATTACCCCAGGAGATCCCATAGTAAGAAGAGTAAATGAGGCATCTGAGCAAGAAATAACCGGCATAACTAAACTTTGGCAGCAGTAGGAGAATATGACCCAAAATTAGATAAATAAACTAAGTTTCCCCACTACAACCATACTGAGATCCCCAGTCACCCTATGCCTTCAGTTGGAAGAGTACTATCCATTTCCCTGAAGGAGTGCTTTAGATGTTTAGTGCTAGATGAAAGTCGGCAGATCAAAACAGAGATCAGGAACAGGGCTCTCCGCTGCTTCTCAGGCTTGTCACCAAGCTTGGACTCAGTCTGAGTTGTCTTAAGCATATGTGCCACTTTCAGTTTAGGTGAGCTCCGCTGCTTGTGCCGCTTGCACCTCTGCCATATTTGGGCTTTCTTCACTCATAACGGTGCAGATTAATGATGGTGATCTGGAGCCTACAGGTCATGAAGGTGGTCCTTTTGCTGCGATGGTACATGGTCCAGTCTGCACTCCATGTCCAACCATACTGTGCTGGAGTTAGGCAAACACACGGGTTCCGCCATTTTGCTTTGGTCGGCTGCCACTCCTGCCCGGCGACCACTAAGCCGCATCCATCACATAGAGGTATAAAAGCTCCCTGCAGCTCTTTATCCACTCCTACTCGTATCAGGTAGGTCGGGAGCCACATTGTTACAGGATCTGTCTCTAGTCGAGCTGATTAAGCTTGTCAGCAGTGCCTTAAAGCCAGATAATGGATGAGCTCACTCGAGATGCATCTCACCTCCAACCCCAATACTTTTTTTTTTTTTTATGAATAAATAACTGGTGACAAATTTAAGCATGTTTTGTATGTTTGGATGTATATATTTATTTGTATTTATCTGTGCAATTTTTTTTTTTAATTCTTTATTTTTACTGTGCAAGGTAAATACAGGTATATGTGAGGTGCCACAACAGCACTCATAGAGTAAGCAACAAACATTCAATTCGGCACTTGGAATCTGCACATTTTTTGTTATTATTATGTTGGATCGAGCTAGACACAATTTTTAGGTATAGCAAATAGATGATACGTTAAAACTATGTCAGTAAGTAATAATTCGACAATATACTAAGCTCTAGAAACTTTAACTGACAGCATGGGGTTGTTTAGCTTTTGTGAGAATCTTGGAGAAGTGTTGGCTTAAACAAAAGTTTAACGTTAGTACACTCGTTTTATAGTTGGGTTCCAGGCTATACATGTATGTCTGATTATGTGAAGCTATGGGTTCTGCATTCAGTATAGGTTAGCTATACATGTGGGTGGTTAGGTAAAAACAAAGTTAGCTACATGCTTGTGCGATACAAGTTGGGAAGAAGATAAAACCCCTACTGGGAAGCAGGTAATTGCTAGGCAAGCAGGCAGGCGCTTTTACTTCCCCATAGCTGCGGCCATGTGGCCGCTTTAGAGCTAAATGGCCGCTGCTACAAAGCATCACAGGTCTATGTATAATAGACAAACCGCAAAAAAAAAACAAAAAAAAAACAGAGTCATCAGTTGATGTAAGGCATTGTCCTTGTAGGGCTTTACGTTAGGGCTTTCAGCCTATGCCCAATGTCGGGAAGTCCTGGCCGCCGCTTCTAGAAGTGTCTCTCTTGGAAACTCTGGGCAGGGTGCCTCCATATCTGGATGCAGCTTTGATGGTGTGCTGAGGGGTACGCTGTCGTTTGGTCTCTCAATTTGCAGCGTTGGTGGCGGGAGGTCGCATTGTGCTGCGCCAGGCTCTGAGAGGTTGAGTTGGTGAGTGCTTCGCAGGTGTCGCTTGTAAGGGGGTCTTGCTGTTCTGTAGCTGCGAGTGGGAGCTTGCGTCTGGGAAACATGGTTTCTGTACCCGCCTTGAGGGCTGCAGGGATCTGCGCTGGGGTGTGGGAGCGCGAACTCCGGTTCCCAGGAGACAAGGCCCTGTTTCCATCCATGCTGTGCTTCTGCTCCGATTCCCATTGGGAGCTGCTCTGGATTATCTGTGCAATTTTATGTTTTCTTATATAAGTGCTATATGTTAGGTCTGTTTTCTCTTTTTATAAGTTTCTACTTGATGGAGCCTATTGTGGCGAAACACATATAGGAACTTTTTATATAATCTAAGTGTTAATAAAGGAATATTTGGCTATTATACATTTGGTTGCCACATTCCTCTTTCCACCTTAGAATTATATTACTTTCTTTTAGTATAATTTTATTATTTTACTATTTGCAAGTTTATTTTATTCAGACCTGACTACTACTACCTTTTTGTCCATATTGGAGTACCAAGAATCCTAAGGTGGGGATTATCCCACCCATACGCCATCCACCGAGCAGTACGTCTGCTCTATATACCGTGAGTATATTTTATTCTGTTTCTACATTTTCTACAATGAGCACTATATATTTTATCCTTTTACCTCGAGCTGGACTACTCCACCAAAGTACTCTGCTAAAGAACAAAAGAGGAGCACCGTATATCCTTGAGTGGGGATTATTCCACTACGTGCCTTTTACACCAGAGCTGGATTTAAGCTCTGAATATTGTGAGTAGTTCTACTATTATATATACAATATTATTTACCGTTCATACTATACCATTGGAGTTTCCCTTGTCTTCTGTTTTCTTCACATATCCACTTTTAAGCTGCGGATATACATCTGGGACGTCACATACCATTTTATGTAGCACTAGGACTACCTCCTGCATATGTGGATTATTTATATTCGGACTTTCTAGGTATCGCTGCTCGTACGCTCTGATATATATTTTTATATATTCATTCTACTTGTCTTAGGCGCACCCTTATTTGTTCTTTTCTCTCCATTTATTTGTATAGTGTTTGCATTTAAATGCACTTGTATGCATAGGCGTGCGCAGCCTATTGTATAAGGGTGTGCACCCTAAAGCAGAAACACACACGCCGCGTATATATTTATATATATATATATATATATATACACATACACATACATACACACACACACACTGCTGTGTGTGTGATGGTGCTGTGTGTGGGCGTGCTGTGTGTGTGAAGGCGCTGTGTGTGTGTGAAGGTGCTGTGTGTGTAAGGGTGCTGTTAGTGTGTGCTGTGTGTGTGTATGTGTAAGGGTGCGCTTAGTGTGTGTGTGTGTGTGAGGGTGCTGTGTGTGTAAGGGTGCTGTTAGGGTGTGATTTGTGTGTGTGGGTGAGGGTGCTGTGTGTGTAAGGGGGCTGTTAGTGTGTGCTGTGTGTGTAAGGGTGCTGTTAGTGTGTGTATATAAGGGTGTTGTTAGTGTGTGCTGTGTGTGTGTGTAAGGGTGCTGTGTGTGAGGGTGCTGTGTGTAAGGGTGCTGTTAGTGTGTGTATGTGTAAGGGTGCTGTGTGTGTAAGGGTGCTGTTAGTGTGTGCTGTGCGTGTGTAAGGGTGCTGTGTGTGTGAGGGTGCTGTGCTTAAGGGTGCTGTTAGTGTGTGTATGTGTGAGGGTGCTGTATGTGTAAGGGTGTTGTTAGTGTGTGTGTGCTGTGTGTGTAAGGGTGATGTATGTGTGTGTGCTGTATGTTTTTGTGTAATGTGTGTGGGCCGTTTAGTTAATACCACCCCTCCCTTCTTACCTTAGGTAGGTGAGGGGGGACTGTGCGCCTGCCTTCCCTGGTGGTCCAGTGGAGAGCGAACTCTAGCCCCCTGTGGCAACGCTCCGACTGCGCGAGAGGAACCCGGCGGAGCTGCTGACAAGAGCCTCCTGCCTCCCTCCCTGCCTGATCTTTGATCTCCCTCACCGGCCCACGGAGGGAGGCACATAGCGCGTGCACACCGGCCCACGGAGGGAGGCACACCCGGCACAACCCGTGCACGCCTATGCTTGTATGTTTGTATGTACTGTTGTTATTTAAGAGAAGTGATGTACTTGTGTTTAGTGTTTGTGTTTGAAAGTGTTTGTATGTAGAGTTAACGTTTGATTGTTGGGAAGTATGCACATACACTGCTCCACACATACACACTGAAACACATGCAGAGTCACACACTGACACATACACTCACAAACACATGCACACAGATATACAAACACACTGACACACAGATATACACTGGTTAATACACACACAGATACATACACACACACTGACACACAGATACATACATGTCACCATAAGCAGGGCTGGACTGGGGATTCCAAAGCAGCCCTGGAAAAAAAAAATCTACGCCAGCCCCATAAGTCATTGCGCCATATATTGTTGCATGTAATATGTAAGGCTATGTCTTGCCACCCTAGATGAATGATATATATATTGTTTTTTCCAATATAAAATATTGGTCCATTCAGAGTAAAAATTTTAATTATACAGTAAGCATACTCACATGCAGACACAGACAATCTCACTGACACAAGATGATTGATACACAGCCTCATAAACAAACAATCTCACTGATATACATAAAGTCATTGACATAAAAACACAAGCTCACTCAGTAGCAGGCATGCACAAACGCGCACGCACACGCACACACACACACGCACACACACACACACAGCTTAATGTAGTGGTTCTGGTGTCTATAGCCTGTCCCTGCAGACTTTTCAATGTAAACACTGACTTTTTAGAGAAAAGGCAGTGTTTACATTGATTCCTCGTGACAGACACTCAGACGGTCACTAGAGGTGCTTCCTGTGTTAGTGTGGATTAGCTGAGATCATCAAGCTTGATGATCTCAGCCATTGAGGCAGGGCCAGTCGAGGGGAGACCAGCACGACGTGGGGGGGGAAAAGGTGAGTACAAACACACATACCATGACAGACACACACCATGACACAGACAGACCGTGACACAGACACACACACACCGTGACACAGACAGAAACACAGACACACCATGACACAGACAGACACACACCATGACAGAGACACACACACACCATGACAGACACACACACATACCATGACAGAAACAAACCATAACACAGACATACTGTGACACAAACACACACTGTGACACAGACACACATTACATGACACAGACAGACACACACACCATGAAACACAGGCACCATGACACAGAGAGACCGTGACACAGACACACGGTGACACAGACAGACACACACACCATGACAGACAGAGACACACACACACAATGACACAAACAGACACACACACCATGACAGACAGAGACACACACACACACAATGACACAGACAGACACACACACCATGACAGACAGAGACACACACACACACACAATGACACAGACAGACACACACACACACACACAATGACACAGACACACATACACTCAAACTGACACACATAATTTCTACCTTTGTGCTGGCGGCCGCATGGGGGAGCTGAGTCTTCTTGCGGCCGCAGAGAGAGCTCTTCTGGCGGCCGCAGGGGGAGCTGGCTGTTCTGTCTCTGCTCCCCCTCCCCAGCGCGCCGCTTAATGAGATCGGGGCCGGAATATGACGTTATATTCCGGCCCCGGTCTCTTTCTAGCGCGCGAGGGAGGGGGAGCAGAGGCAGAACAGCCAGCTCCCCCTGCGGCTGCCAGAAGAGCTCTCTCTGCGGCCGCAGGGGAGCCAGCTGCCTGCCTGGCCTCAGGTGCCGACGGCCCACCGGGAAATTTCCCGGTGGGCCAGTCCGGCCCTGACCATAAGAGATCCATTGAGTCATTGCCCCATAGTCAGTATACAAAGGCAGTAAGAAATGTATCAGACCCTATCACACGTTCAGGACATTTAAGAGAAATGGGTAAAAAATGTCTTAATCAAGACTATCCAGCCAAACTTTTGGATAAAGAGAATGATGGAATACTTGGGATAGAGAGAGATTATATTTTGACATCTAAGAGGAAAAAGATAAACTAATCATCTAGAATACCGTTTGTATCCCAGTTTAATCCACAAAGTGTCACAGAATAGCACAGCATCTGGAGACACCGGGGTGTTATTAAGAAATTGTTTCCAGAAATTCCTGAATTTCAATCTCCCCCTTTGTTTTCCTACAGAAGACCACAAAACATAAGGGATATTTTTGTCCGAGCAGATATTGGTAAATTAAAGTTTAAAAAACAGCGTATTTTTGTTTTGTTTTTTATCTACACCAATTTTAGGTACCTTCCCATGCCATAGCTGTAGTTCATGTAATTCAGTTATTAAAGGTAAAACTTTTTTTTTATCAATATACTGGTCGCACTTACTTCATAAGAGGATATTACACGTGTGACTCCTCTTATGTAGTATACACTATCAAATGTCCTTGTGGTCTCCTCTACGCTGGGGAGACCACAATGAAAGTCCGAGAGAGACTAAACAAACGCAAATCTACTATCAGAACTAAACAGGTTGAACTACCGATCCCTGCTCACTTTTTAGAAAACAAAAAACAAAAGACATACAATATCACAATTATGCTTCCAGGTCATATACCAAGTATTACCATTACGAAGAGGTGGTGACTGTGTGGATCAACTGAAAAAGAGAGAGGCTTACTGGATACATCCATTGGATACATTATGCCCGAAGGGTTCCTGTGGAACTCGCTTCCCTCCTCCAGTAGATGCTCACCCAGTCTCCACTCCTTCAAAAAATCATTAAAAACCCACTTCTTCATAAAAGCGTATCAATGAAACTGTTAATAGCTCCCAACTGATTCCTCTCTTGCAACTGTCACTAGTCTAATACTATCCTTACCTTTTTGTGTCATTTTACACCACTTCCTCTAGCATGTAAGCTCATTGAGCAGGCCCTCAACCCCTCTGTTCCTGTGTGTCCAACTTGAAAATCACGGTGAGAAGACGCTAGCGTCCATAGGAAAGCTTTCCTATGAACTGGCTGAATGCGCGCGCGGCTCCTGCCGCGCATTCAGACGATGATGTCCCTATG